CCGCTGTCTGTCCGTGTCCCCCCGTGTCCCCGTGTCCCCTGACGCCCGTGTCCGTGTCGCAGCGTGGACCTGGTGCACGCCCAGCTGCAGGTGGCCGCGGGCCGGTCTCTGCCGGAGCTGGGGCTGCAGCAGGAGCGGATCCGGGTCAATGGCTGCGCCATCCAGTGCCGCGTCACCACCGAGGACCCCGCGCGCGGCTTCCAGCCCGACACCGGCCGCATCGAGGTGGGGACACGGGGACACCCACGGGGACACCCCCGGGGACACCCCCGGAACCACCCCCGGGGACACCGGGACACCCCCGGAGACACCGGGACCACCCCCGGGACCACCGGGACACCCCCGGGACCACTGGCAGCACTGGGGACCACTGAGTTACAGACACCCCCGGGACCACCGGGACACCCTGGGACCATTGGGACCACTGGGGACCACCGAGTTACAGACACCCCTGGGACCACCAGGACACCCTGGGACCCCTGGGACACCCCTGGGACCCCAGGGACCACCAGGACACCTGAGTTAGGGACACCCCTGGGACCACCGGGACACCCCTGGGACACCCCCGGGACCACTGGGACCACCAGGACACCTGAGTTAGCGACCCCCCTGGGACTACGGGGGACACCGGGACACCCCCGGGTTGTGGACACACCCCGTGGGGATCCCCTGTGGGACCCCCACCCATGGGCCCTCCGTGGCATTTCCCTTAGGGTGTCCATAGGTTTTCAGGGATCTGTGGATGTATCCACAGGATTTTGAGGTGTTTCCTTTTTGGGGTGTCTCCAGGATCTCGGGGTGTTCCCGTTGCATCCCGTTTTGGGATATTTTTAAGATTTCGGGGGGTGTCTATAGGATTTTGTGAAATCTGTAAGATTTCGGGGTGTGTCTATAGGATTTTGGGATATTTTTAAGATTTCGGGGGGGTGTCTCCAGGATTTTGGGATATTTTTAAGATTTCGGGGTGTCTCCTCGCAGGTTTTCCGCTCCGGGGAGGGGATGGGGATCCGCCTGGACGGGGCCTCGGCGTTCCAGGGCGCTCTGATCTCGCCCCACTACGACTCCCTGCTGGTCAAGGTGGTGGCCCACGGGCCGGACCAGCCGGCGGCCGCAGCCAAGATGAGCCGAGCCCTGGCCGAGTTCCGGATCCGGGGGGTCAAGGTGGGGCTGGGGGGGTCTGGGGAGGGAGTTTTGGGGGTTTCTTTGTGGGCCACGAGGGGTTTTGGGGAGGGAAATGGTGCAGGAAGGGATCTGGGGGGCACTGGGGTGACATTGGGGGTCCTATGTGACACATGAAGGGTTTG